CCTTCAACCAACCTCAAAGTGTTGGAATTCCCTGGTGCCAGGTTCTGGGCCCTTTCTCTTTTTTCCTACATTTTCTTCCTACAAAGGCTTAACATTTCCATGCCTTTAAATTTATACCTAGCCCAACCTCCAAATACATCTCTCCAACTACCTGCCTCATTTTATATCTCCACTTGGATGTCTCAGAGGTATCTCAAACTCAACAACTCCCAACGGCAGTATTCATTTCCACCCCCATCAGACTCCCCAGACTGGCTCCTTTTTCAATCTTCCCTATCTCATGAATGGCACCACAGTCAAGCTAATCATCAAAGCGTCACCTGAAGCATCTTTCTTTCTCTCAACTCCTACATCCAATCAATCCATCAGCAAGTTGAGTCATTATTTCTGCTTTCATAATCCATCCAGGCTCTCTCTCCTTCTCTCCATCTCCACTGCCACCATCCTGTCATCCCCGTCATCTCTTGACTGCAGTGCTGTAATAGCCTCCTTGTTAGACTTGCTTGTAGTCTTGAACTCTCCAAACCAATCATCACAGGGCAGCCAGAGTAACCTTTTAAAAATATAAATCATATCATGTCGCTTTTTGTGTGTAAATCCCTCAAGTGGCTCCCTACTACATTTAAAATAAAATCTATATGCATGGCCTGTGTCCTAATTTCATGTTATCACCACCAAGGCCGATGAAGCCCAGCATGGCCTGGCTCTTACCCACCTCATCTCCTGCCACTCTCCTCCATACTGTTCACCCTATTCCAGCACATGCTAAGCTACTCCCACCCCCATTAAAGCTTTTGCTTAAGTTGTTCCCTCTCAGCCTAAAGTTGTCTCTCTCCTCTTTCCCACCCACAAAGTTTGGTTTCCTTTCTGGTCTCAACTTTGTGAGACCTTCCCTGGCCCCACTAAGTGAGTCTCCCTGTTAGGGTGAGGTCCTCACTCTGCTCATAGCCATTGAGACTTGACACCTGGAGTCATCTTACTGTCTTTGATCCATCTTCCTTCCACTTTGTGCAGTGAATGTTCTACAAGTCCAGTTGATTGCTTATGAAAATCTGTTTATCCTTTCTGTCTCTTCTATGGCATAGGCCAGAAAGATCACTTGCAGCTTTGGAGGATGGAAAAGATTGGAAAGGACAGAGACGGGCCCTCTATGTGGGCTTCCACACCAGCAAACATTAGCCCCTGGATATTCTGTGGGAAATAAGGAGACACTACAGCAGCTACAGCAGCTACAACAGCCCACATTTATGTTTCTTTACTGTGACCTCATATTAGTCACTTATTTTCCATACTAGTCATTTCATATCTATATGGTTCTTAACTTTTGTGGCTTTTTTTTGAGACAGAGTCTTGCTCTGTTGCCCAGGCTAGAGTGAGTGCTGTGGCGTCAACCTAGCTCACAGCAACCTCAAACACCTGGGCTCAAGTGACCCTCCTGCCTCAGCCTCCAGAGTAGTTGGGACTACAGGCATGCGCCACCATGCCCGACTAATTTTTTCTATATATATTAGTTGGCCAATTAATTTCTTTCTATTTATAGTAGAAATGGGTCTCGCTCTTGCTCAAGCTGGTTTTATTTTATTTTATTTTTTGAGACAGAGTCTCACTTTGTTGCTCAGGCTAGAGTGAGTGCGGTGGCATCAGCCTCGCTCACAGCAACCTCAAACTCCTGAGGTTCAAGCAATCCTTCTGCCTCAGCCTCCCGAGAAGCTGGGACTACAGGCATGCACCACCATGCCCAGCTAATTTTTTCTCTCTATATATTATTTGGCCAATTAATTTCTTTCTATTTATAGTAGAGATGGAGTCTCGCTCTTGCTCAGGCTGGTTTTGAACTCCTGACCTCCAGCGATCCGCTTGCCTCGGCCACCCAGAGTGCTAGGATTGAGGGCGTGAGCCACCGTGCCCGGCCCTCAGGCTGGTTTTGAACTCCTGACCTAGAGCAATCTGCCCACCTTGGCCTCCCAGAGTGCTAGGATTACAGGCGTGAGCCACCGCGCCCTGTCGGTTCTTAACTTTTTAAGGGGTTTATCAACTCCCTTGAATACATGGTAAAAGCCATGGATCCTTTCTCAGAACAATGTACGAAAACACAAAATTTTGCAAATCACAAGGGAAAGGAATTTCCAGGCTAAACTTCTGCTTTAACAGTTCATTGCCTGCCCTCTTGGATGCTTGCAGTGTTATCTAGCTTTTTCATTCATTCAACAAACACTTCTTGGAGACCTAGAATGAGGCCAAGCACAGTATGAGATGCTGGGTTTATACACAGTATATAGAACAAGATAGATACTAGACTCTTCCTTCACAGAACTTGCATTCCAGCAAAAGGAGCAGTCATTAAACAAGAAAACAAATGATAATATATGGCAGCCAAGGGGGAATGTCCTGAAAGAAAATAAAGGAGGGCGTGGGACAATGGTGGTGTGGTCTTTTCTGAGATGATATTTGAGCAAGACTTTATAATATGAGGCAGTCAGTGGTCATGAGAAGAGGTGAGAGAAGAGAATTGCTGGCAATGGGGACAGGAAGTGCAAAGGCCCCGGGGGTCTTTTATTCTTCTTAAGATGGAAGGCAAGGTCCAGGATTCTGCACATTTTCTTCCTCCCGTAAGAGACAGCCATTGCTGTTTCGAGAACACAGGACTTCTACAGGTCTCCATTTCAAACGTCTCAATCCTAGTCCTCACACTTCTGGGCTTTTCTGGAATGCCTCTACCCCAGGGAAACCTTAACTCCTCCACTAAGGAGGAAATAGTGTTTCTCTGAATATTAGTATATGCTTTTTTAAGTAGTACTTGTTACTTACTGAGGATGGGGCGTGGAGCAGTGGTTTTGTTTTTCTGGGTACCTGGGATAACTTTGCGAGCACGCTACGGCAACTAAATGCAGGGGCTGCAGGTAAAGCCAATCCCCGCCCTCCGCACCCGGGCCGCTTTCCTGCCGAGACTACATTTCCCAGAGAGCCGCGCGGGCCGGGAGGGCGCGGGGCGGTGTCTCCTAGTACCCGGATTGAAACAAGATGGCGGGCTCACGGTGAGGAGCTGTCAAGGTAACCGCTGCCCTTTCCTCTGCTGATCGCGGAGTCCCTTGAAGAAGGGCAGGCCCAGAAAGCTTGTCTGCGACTGTCGAGGTCTCCTGCCTGTCCTTCCAGTAGGGCGAAGCTGCCGGCATCCCTAGTCTCCATCCGTCCTGCAGAAGAGCCGGCAGGTGGCCGCGAGCTTCCTGTAGCGCCCCCCTCGTGTCCCGGCAGACGCGCTGGTGGAGCCGACGGCTCTTGTGGCTCTAGGGACCACCTCTTGGTCGAAGCCTTTCGGGTTTGTCCCTCGGTGCTAGTCTTTGTGCTCCTGGGAGCCTATTCCTCAAACCTCGAACCCTCCGAGGCTCTCTGTAGTTTTTGCTTCGGGATTGAATTCGGGACCAAGGAAATACTCTCTGAAATTCCCTCCTTGGGGTGAATAATCTGACCCCCAGATGTGTTTGCCCTTGGGCCTCGGACAGAGGGGTCCTAATGTCCTCTAAAATGTTGGTAGTCAGTGGATATGGGTTTGCGTTCCACCCATGCCACCTATTAAGCAGCGAAATACTGGGCAAGTAATCGGTTGACCTCTCTGAGCCTTTGTTCTTAGTCCATGAAATGAAGACACAAGTCTACTTCACAGACTTGTGAAAGTCAGAGCACATAACGTGTATGAAAGTGGATCATAAACTGTTAAAAAGCACACCGTATGAACTCAGGATTGTGTTAGTGTACTGACAGTGCCAGGAATCAGCCAGCATAGTTTAGTAAGAAAGAGGGCCTATGTATGTATCACTTTTTGGGGAAGGGCACAAACAGTCGTTGAGGCAGATTAAAAAAAAAGGGGTGTAATAATGATTATTTGTCATTAATTCACAACAGCCCGTGGAGATTGTGGTTGTTTCCCCCATTTTACCACTGAAGAAGCTAAGGGTCATTTAGGTAATGACTTTCCCAAAAGTTTCCCAGTTTGTCAGTGACTGACTCTAAAGTCCTTGGAAGCAAGTCATTTAAATTTTGTACTTAGTTTCTTCACAAGTCAAGATAAAGATACCTCACACGATTAAGAGAGTAAAATAAAATGGTGGTGAAGCACCTTGGAAAGTTAAAAAACATATATATGTATGTGTGTGTGTATATAATGGTGAAATTTTATCTGGGACCTTAGAACATTTATACGTGTTCCTCTAAACAAGTATTTAGTGGGCCAAGAGTAGGCCTTTTTTGATATTTCATTTAATCAGAAACAGAATACTACTCTAGTGATGTAGTAAGATCTTGTGTTTGGGATCTCGGAGGTTGTATGCAGACACACTAGCATAATGAGAGTATATGCTCTGTGTATCGTGTGACTGTTTCTAAAGGTAATTACACATCTACTGAGTGCTCCTTGAGTGGAAACTGCACTTGGTGCACAGAAGTTTGCATTTAAGAGAAATGGTAATGGACATAGTTCTGGGGTTTCTGATCTTACATTTTGATGATGTTGCTCTTTGTTGCATTGTTAAATCATGTGGAATTGCAAAATTGTTTAAAAGCCTTGCTTCTATTGACTGTAGTTCTAGGTAGTGATTCTTATTTTGTTCTTTTTGTTTCGGTTTGGGTTTTTTTTTTTTTAGATAAGGTCTTGCTCTGTCTTCTCCCGCTAGAGTGCAGTGGCCTCACCATAGCTCACTGCAACCTCACGCTCCTGGACTCAAGTGATCCTCCTGCTTCAGCCCTCCCAGTAGCTGGAACTACAGGCACATGCTACCTCGCCTGGCTAATTTTTCCATTTTTTGTAGAGACGGAGTCTTGCTCTTGCTCAGGCTTGTCTTGAACTCCTGGCCTCAAGCAATCCTCCTGCCTCAGCCTCCCAAAGTGTTAGGATTATAGGCGTGAGCCACTGTGCCTGGCCTCTTATCTTGTTCTTATAGCGTTTAATATAACTCAGCACTTAAGTTTATGATAGGAGCACTGATTTTTCTTTATCTCTTGAGCAGGGATGAAAATTGGTGTGCCTAGAAGCAGATTTTAAAAGCAGTTCTTCTTCAAAACATCTTTTTTCATACTACTGATAAGCATCTTAACACCATGGCCACAGCAGCAATAAAATGGGTGATATCAAAGAGACCTATCTTGAAACATTTATTTCCAATCCAAAGTAAGTGAAGTTTTTTTAATGTTACTTTTTAAAACGGTATAGAAAATTTAAAGTGTTTAGTTATCATATATACCCATTAATTTGCAGGAGTGTTTGCAATAATGGAAAATAGAAGAAAACCTAAAGTCGTCCAAAGGGGGATCGATATATTATGGTTCATCTTAACTATGACTTAATACCTCCTTTGTATGTCTTCATGTATTCCGTGTATGGAACCAACCCTACAGAAGGCTTGGGTTATTAATCCAATGTTCCTGGATCTTCTGTGTTGTTTTGGATGTGATGAATGTCATGTGGATGATCAAAATTTCAAAAGGGTACATCAAAATCATCTCTCTCATCAGACAAGAGAAAGCCAGAAATAGTCTTCAGAATAGAAAACTTGACTAGTGGGCTATCGATAAGCAGACTCATTACTACATCATTTTATCTACTGATAGGATGAATCTTGGCATGTTTTTGTGCTTCTTTATTAATTATAACTGTTATTCAGGGTTTGGGTGTCTTTTTTTTTTTACTTTTAGAAAAGAGAAACTAAAATTTAGTTTCATTCTAAGATTTATTTTCTGCTTTCTCTGCATTACTATAAGCATGGATAATGAATCTTAAAGGTTTAATAAAAAAATTATACATATGCAGTTATTACCAAGGAAAGGTCAAATGGAAGGGAAAAAAGCAATGCACAAACAGTATCGTCATATATCTTTTTTTTTTTTGAGACAGCAGTCACTTTTGTCCCAGGCAGGAGTGCCGGTGGCGTCAGCCTAGCTCACACACCTCAAACTCCTGGGCTCAAGCAATCTACGCCTCCAGCCTCTCCCGAGTAAGCTGGGACTAACGGGATTGGCCCCATGCCTGGCGAATCTTTCTCCATAATTAGTTTGTGCCAAGTTAATTTCTTTCCTATATATGTACCAGATGGGCGTCCCTGCTCTTCCCCTCAGCGCTGGGTTTGAACCCTGACCCCTCGAGCCATCCGCCCCGCCTACGGCTCCAGAAGCTGCTAGGATTACCACCTGTGAGCCCACGTGCCCTGTCCTGTCATATGATCTTGTTTATGTGTTTGAAAGGTGATCCATCATATACATATGTGAATATGCATAAATGTAGAGTAAAAGTGAATATGCATAAATGCAGAGTAAGAGGTCTGGACCAACCAGTGGTTATCTGTGTAGACCACTAGTGGGATTTAGCTGAGGGCAGGAGTGAGGGATTATACTTATTTACAAGTTTTACTTTTTTAGTGGTTATTAAAATTTGCAATAAAGGGTAAATTCACAGTCCCATCTTCCGAAGATAATCATTGTTAATATTTTGGTGGATGCTCTTTGTTTTTGTTTTTTTCCCTGTACCTAGTCATTTAAAAAAATAAAATGTAATTTCTACCTTTATTTTCTAAAGAACTATATGTAGTCTAATATTTTCCTGAAGGCCTATTAAAACATGTTTGACAGTAAAAGCATGGACCCAAATAAGTAAATAGAGTATTAAAGTCTTATTTTTTCAGCCAACTGTGCTATCCTTTTCCTTTTCCTCTGGCTGTGAACTCTTTTCTCCGATTTCTAAAGTAGGCATGATTAGAAGGCTACAGTAGGTTTGCTTTTTCATGTTTAGCTATGTCAGCTAACTTTTTATACATCTCTGCTTGACCTTAATCTCTTCCTTCATGTTTGCTATTTACTGCTATTTGTAATTGAAAGTTTCTTTATTGAGTTAAGGGGAAAAGAGCTGTTTAAAGAGTAGGGTAAAAATCAAAGTAATAAATAGGTAATTTGGTGGCACTTGAGGCAGGGAAAAGATGTTTTGCCCAGTAAACACCCTTGTTGAATAGAATGTTCAGAAGTTAGCTAAATCATACTTTTATAGGAAACCTTCCATCCCTGTTCCTTACTCACCCCACTCCTCCCTGCCTTTTTAAGGGTTCTGACCATAATAACACTTATCATAGTATATTCAAAGTAAAGTCAACTTAGAATTAAATAAACAGAGAAGGAGATTGCTAAGAGACATTAGATATAAAGTGAGATAGTAATCAAAACTACAATCAGCTTTTGATAATCTAGGAGCATTTTTGTTTTGAATTGAAAGAGAGGCCCTCACTGCTTTGCCCTGACAGGAATCCAGCTTCAAAGCTAATGAGAAGTCAGATCTAATCAGTTTTTACAGTCCATGCCTTGAAACAGCAATTAGTAGCTCACACAGCTTAATCTGAAAGCCAGTTAATCTGTCCCTGGATAATTGAAAATTGTTTATGTGTCTTTTTCCTCCCTGGATTTCCCACTAAATTTGTACTGGATCTAATTTATTTTGGTGTCCCTGGTGCCTCTCATTCATGGTTGAAAATAAATAAATGTTTGTTGAACGGATCTGAATGGATTGAGTTACTGTCAAAATATCCAGTTAACTAAGAATTTAGAAAATCATTCCAGTACCACTCAGTCATCCTAATACTCAGTGACCTCACTTCTTATATCTTGAAGCCCCTTATTCTGCACAGTTCCTATTATTACTATTATTGAAGGTACAGTAAGTATTATGACTGTCATTATTGATGTTTTATAAGAAAGGAAAGGACATTAAGATTGGAGGCAAAGGCAAAATCATGAATTAAGGAGATAAAGTTCAATGAGCAAAAATAAAAAGACTTCCCTGTATTCTAGAAGGAACATTTAAAACCTTCCCAAATATAGAGTCACATGGAAATGTAGAACATTTTACAGTTTTTAAAAGTATGTTAAACCATTTTATTTTTACAACTTTAAATTTAGTAGCCTGTACATTATTATCCTCTTTATGAAGATAAAGAATCTTGAGTTCTCTGGCTCTCGTAAACTTATTCAGCGTCACATATTTGGTATGGTAAGTGAAAGCTGTGACTAAAACCTAGGTCTCCCCATCTGTACCTCCTTTCCTGTAGTAACTTAAAATATTGAGTACTTGAAGATTAAATGGGACAAAGTTTAGCTTTTATAAAAATGCAATTAAACATATATATATAAAACAAGAGTAGCCCATAAGTTACAGAAATTATTATTATTAAAATTCTTTTTTGGCAGATTGAGTTGCTTTGGGTTGATAGTTCTTAACTTTGGCATTGATCCTAATTATATATTTAGAACCTCTGATACTTCCATATCTAGAATTAATTCTCTTGGTAAAATGTCAGGTAATGAGTTTTTCAAGTATTAATTATGCAGAAATTTAACACTTTATAAGTAGTTTGGCAGTCACTTTTTATGAGTAGGCACTGTAGGAGACACAGTGATGAACAAGGTATATAGCTCGTATCCTTAAGGAACTTATTTAGATTTATATGTGAAACAGACATCTGTGAAAACAAGAATACCCAGAGTATGATGTAGAATCTTTTAAGTGTGTCGTGAGGGCACAAACAAATGTCTGTGTAAAAACCGAGTAGAAATTTTACTGAGCTTCTTCTTAACTAAGATACTGTTTTGTTGTCTTGAATTTTCCCTTTTGTCCATTTATTTTATTTTATTTTTTTTGAGACAAGTCCCTCGTTGCCAGGCTAGAGTGAGTGCCTGGGTCAGCCTAGGCTCACAGCAACCTCAAACCTGCGGCGCTCAACAATCTTACTGCCTCAGCCTCCAAGTGCCTGGGACTACAGGGCACCACCATGCCCACGCCAGAATATTTTTCTATATATATTAGTTGGCCAATTAATTTCTTTCTATTTATAGTAAAGACAGGGTCTCACTCTTGCTCAGGCTGGTTTTGAACTCCTGATCTGGAGCAATCCGCCGGCCTAGGCCTCCCAGAGTGCTAGGAATAGGCGTGAGCCACCGTGCCCCACCCCTTTTATCCATTTAAGAATACTTAATTCTGTCTGTCCTGCCTCTGCCATCTGGTACTGTTTCTTTCAGTGAACATGTATATTATCTAACTGGTTTATATTGAATATAACCTTTTTTAATATTAACCTAATTGATGCATAATTAGGAAGATCCACAGCAATGTTAAACAAAAAATATGTGTAAATGGTTTTTACATTAGCCTCTGATTTGTTTTAATGCTTTTCTGTATTAGCACAGATCACTGAGAATTAATAAATCTTGAGAGATTAGGTTAACTTTTGAATTCTTTGTAGTTTATTTTCTTACATCAGTAGAATTTGGGGGCTAACAATTTTGTTCAACATTTTGTTCTGCTAAAGACTGTTAAGGGATATACTAAGCTTTGGGGTGAGAATTTATATTTATATGTCTGTGTAAATGCAATTCTTGGGGAGAGGAGAGGTATACAAAAATGGAAACACCGATGCATGTAAATAACTGATGCAGAGAAAAAAACAAGGACTACAAAGAAGTTTAGCAATGTCATATGAAGTATTGATTGTGAGACATGTAAAATAGACAACTCTTTCCCCGTGATGGAGGCTCTCAGGCAGGGAGGGTAAAAAGGATTTCGAGGAAGAGTAGCATTTGACTTTGAAGGATGAGTGGTATTTGAACAAAGTGGGGATGGTATTTCATACTGAGGACATGGTAAAGGCCTGGAGGTAGGAAAGGCAGGGTAGGTTATAGTACATAGCAGGAATAAGAGACGCTCTGTTGAGAGATTGATTCTTGGATTTAGCCAAAAGGTATTCAGAACTTGCTTTTAACTATACAAAGCTACCTTTAAAAACTTTATATTTAAAAGACCACGCTTTCTCTGAACATAGGGAAACCTTTCACAAACTTTTAAAAAAGTAATATGACTCTCGAATTTGCATATATTCTAAAAAAGGAAAATATGCTTTGAAATGTCAGCATTTAGATTTTAAAAAGTTTAATTTTGAACAAATTATTTTGTATTTCATCACTTAACACTCCCCCTTTATAAACTAAGCACCTTGGAATACCCAAATACTTCATGTTCTTTCTGGGAAAGGTTGGAATACCTAAACACTTTATTTTCTTTCTTACCTATGGTCCCTGCATCTGTTACTCTCTCTGCAGGGAACATCGTAGTCACCCCTTATCAACTCCTAGTTATTTCGTCATTCTTCAGAGCACCTTATATGTCATCTCCACTGGGAAGGCTTTCTTGGACCTGCACAGTTGTGTCCAGTAGCCTGTCCATGTGCCTCCTCTCTCTCCCAATGATTACCCATCCTAACAATGCTTCTCCTTTGTGTTGGAATTCTTTACTTGTCTGTCTCTCTCACAAGCAGACTATCCCTTTGAGGGTAGGGACTGGGTCTTATTTGTTGTTGAATCCCTGGCCCCTAGTAGAGGCCTGTTTCATAGTAAACAGTAAATGTTGGTTGAATGAGTGAAACTAGCTTTAAATTTATATGTGAACATATACTCAAATTAACTAAATCTATTTTACTGTTTGGGGTTTTGCAGATGGAGCTTTATCTTGTGTTTGTCATAAATCTACATATTCTTCTCTACCAGATGACTATAATTGGTATGTATTAAAATTCAATTGAAAAAATAAGAGTTGTAGCTGTATCTGAAATGATTTAATTTTGTTTCTTGTTTTGGTGTTTTCTGCTTTCTTTTCTGATTATACTTAATTTTGTTTTTAAAAATTATTTCAATGATCTTATTTACCCTGTATCTGGGCTTATAAACATTTTAAATAAAAATCATTATGTTTCATTGAATATTTAATTTGTTGTAAGACAGACATGCTGTTAGAAATGCTATCTTTTCTTCCTGAAGCATGCTTTAGCTTTTTGAAAAATTTAATTTTTTTTTAGTTTTCTCTTACAGTTTATATCTATTAGCTTAAGCAATTATTTATCTTATCTTTTGCTTGACATTAAATAATCCTAAATTACAAATATTTAATTTAACCATCATTTATTTGGTACTTATTCAATACCAGTCACTATGATAAGAACTAGGAATAACATATGACATTGTTTTTTTTTCTCTATAGCAGTCTGATGTGTAGAAACTACAGTATATTTTCTTAAGCTATATTGTTTTTATTGCAAATTTTAATAAAAATATTTTTTCTTCCCTCTCGACACTAGTTTTAATGGTACATTTAGTGAGTGCTAAGATAAACAGTGATGAGATTGGACTAGGTAACATTTTTTGATCCTGGAAAGGTTGAGTTAACATTAAATGTTTTATATTATATAAAATTCCATCTTTCATCAAAAGTCAGTTGATTAAATGTTCATTATAGTCATGTTATGGTATTCAATCTTAAAATCATGGTGAAACAATCTAATGCTTTATCCTCTGTTAGCTCTTAACTACCTCTGTTGTGGTAGCTAAGCTGACATATTCTGTGGGTGGTCTTCAGTTGTCCCCTGTGTTGTGGGTACCAGGTTTGCCAATCCAGTGCTATAGTATCTTCTCTTCAGCAATTCATGATTTATTAATCTTAGCTCTAAGAATAATCATTCTGCCTTGAAACAGTGTAACTCCATTTCTAAAACATTCTTTTTTAGCAAAGTTGAGCTTGCTTTGACATCTGATGGCAGGACGATAGTATGCTACCATCCTTCGGTGGACATTCCATATGAACACACAAAAGTATGTATGAAGAACTTTCTTGTAGTTGTTAATTTACTGTTAGAAATGTTTACACTTTGTTACAGTATTCAAAGAGAAGGGAGTTGTCTGATTTCCTTTATTTGGTCTAGATCTTCTTTTGGCTTTTTTATTTTACTATTACAATTTTTCTCTGACTTTTCATCTTCTTTCTAAAAAGATTTTCTTGGTATACAAAGTGAATCATTTAAACACAATTATGGCGTCAGTTTTAGGGCCTAAAAAACTTGATAGATTTCTGGTTAAGGATCAGACACTGGATCAGATCCAGTGTAAAATTACAAAATATATGTCCCATACTATCTCATATTATAATCTAAAAAATTATTAAAAATTTATATTTTAGAGTTCTGTTTCATAACTTTTATAGTGTTGATTCAGATAATCTTTTTAATGTTGGGTGAATTTTTTTTAATTTAGTTTTTTTCTAATGGGCAGCATGGGTATAGATTTTAAGTGGCCTGGTTTAATTTTTTCTTTATTTCCTCAAAAACCAGGCTCTAAATAGAAGAGATTTTGTTTCTGTTTTTAATACAACTTATGTTAGTTTGACCCAGTCTTTTTATTATTTTATATTTGAAGTGCTTTCTCCTATTTCTTTAAGCCTTCATCTAATTGGTAATGTTTGATTTGCTTTTTGAGGAGAAAATAATTCGATAATTTAAGTCATCACATGATATATTTAGTGGTATCTATTTTTAAAGATCATCATTAGGGCCAGGGTGCTGGTTGGTTTGACCAAGCAGATTATTTTTCTTTTCCTAGTTTTTATTCCATTTTTTTTTTTTTTCTGAGACAGAGTCTCGCTTTGTTGCCCAGGCTAGAGTGAGTGCCCTCACAGCAACCTCAAACTCCTGGGCTCAAGCAATCCTCCTGCCTCAGACTCCCGTTATTCCATTTTTTAAACTGTTTTGTCTGTCTGTTTTGTATCCTAGCCAGATACCATAGGCACTAATCCAGTGCCTCTTTTATTTCATTTCTTTGGGCAGTGTTTGGAAAATAGGTCTAAGTCACTAACTTTTGGCCTGTAAACCCTCCAGCTCACACTATGTTGTGCCTTTTTCCATTGTTATTTTGTGGTATATGTTTGGTCCCATGCCCTGTTTTAGCAATTATACCAAGAATGCCAGGTCATTTCTCAGCATGCAGACTCTCATCCCCATATGGCTGTTTACGTCACTGAATCTGACCCTTCTCAATTCTCAAAACTTTTCCACTGTACTTTTAGAACTTCCAGAATGTTTCCTTCACCTTCTGGCTTTTGTAGAAACCTGGCCATACCCCAGTGACATTGCTTTCCCAGCAGTCTTGTTAAGTAATTGCTGTTTTCTGTCCAGTACCCTTTTATCACTGGGCTTAGAGGTGGGGAAGGAGTTCCTGTAGCTCCTCATTATCATATCCAGGCCATTTCTCCTCTTCCCAAACAATATCTAGCTTTGTAGCTTTTATCATCAAATTATACCATCTATTATCTTTTATTGCTGTCATCTACCAACTACCAGGTCATTTCTTTTCCCCTACCCCTCCACTCTTCTTTGAAGATTTTATTTATTTTTAAAATATTTTTTATTTTTTTTGAGACAGAGTCTTGCTCTGTTGCCTGGGCTAGAGTTTTGTGACATCTGCCTAGCTCACAGCAACCTCAAATTCCTGGAGGCTCAAGCAATCCTCCTGCCTCAGCCTCCTGAGTAGCTGAGACTACAGGCATGCACCACCACACCTGGCTATTTTTTTCTATTTTTAGTTGCCCAGCTAATTTTTTTCTATTTTTAGTAGAGATGGGGTCTTGCTCTTGCTCAGGCTGGTTTTGAACTCCTGAGCTCAAGCTTTCCTGTTGCCTTGGCTGCCCAGAGTGCTAGGATTATAGGTGTGAGCCACCATGCCCAGTCTTCCTTGAAGATTTTAAACTTATTGTCACACTCTCGAACACTTTCTGCCCTAATTTTTTGTTATTTCAATATCCATGTAGATGATATGTCTAAAACCCTGGCTTCTCACTTGATCTTCTCTCCTTACCTCTGCCACCCACTCCTATGTACATGCTCTGAAGATGTTCTAATTACCAGTAACTGCTTCTCTTCCCTCCCCATCTAAATTTCAAGAAGTCCACTGGCTTGCTACTAATTCCTTTTAGCCTTCCAGCTCCAGAAATTATTCATCCCCCCTTTGGGACGTACATCCATTGATCTAACCACTTTTCACATTCCCTCATGTATCTCACACATTCTCGCTCTCTCCTTACCCAGCATAGATTCATGCTATGGTCTGTCATACTCACTTCCCTGCATACATGCCTGCCTCTTCTTTCTTTGTTGAGTTTCATTTATTGTAACAATTGTCTCCTCTCTTACATTATCAATATTCCTTTCTCTAGTTTAAGGAATCATTCCTATCAGTTTATAAGTCATCACTCTACTGCCACCATACTGGTCTCCCCACTGTTCTTCAAGTACATTAGGCAAGCTCTTCCCTCAGAGCCTTTGTATTTCCTGTGTCCTTTGCCTGGAATGCTTTTACCTTAGAAATCCTCATAGTTTATTCCTTTTCCTTAAGATCTTTTTCCTTATTTGTTACCTTGTGAGGCCTTCCTTGGCTCCTTCATACATAGTTGTACGTCTGTCACTCCCTGTTGTCTTTTGATTTACTTTTCTCAATAGCACTTATAATTTCTGGCATACTGGATGTTTTCTTGTTTTTTATCTACCTCCCACCACTAAAATGTAAGCACTTTGAGGGCAAGACCTTGTGTGTTTTGCTCCTTGCTATGTCTTTAGCACCTGGAATAACACTTTGAACTTGGTAGGTGCACAATAAGTATTTGTTGATTAAATTAATAAAGTTGTCCCTCCCTCTTCTTGCTTAAGGGTTTTCTGTTTTAGGATTAAGAGACATTCATATGGGAAAGCTGGATTTTTTTTTTTTTTTTCAAAAAATAAGTTGTAGATTGGGATGTAGAATAAGAAATATTCTTGAAAACCTTTTTTAATTAAAATAAAGTATGTTCTTTTTGAATCTAGATTTACAAATCTCATAAAGATAGTTCATAACAGTATACAAATGTCCTCAAACCTGACTTAAAATTTAGAGTTGGTTTTCCTCTTTGGGTCCTGAAAAGAATTTTGCATACAAAGGTTCTGGTCATATGCTGAAATATTAACTGAGATTGGCTTTAAGAAGGTTAAGATGATTTGCATCTTTGTTTTTCTTGTGATTCACTCACATTTGACTCTAAAAGATGTTGAGTTTTTTCCATAGATACAAGTGAAAAGATTCTTCTTTCTACTTCTGCCAAATGTATGTTTTATTCAAGTACTAATATTCTAAAAATGTATTTCTAAAATTTAGAATTTATAGTTTAGGAAAATAAAGGTATTACCTGTATATTGTTTGTTCTTGCCTATGTTCCTTTACTCATAATATTTGTTATCCCTCATAGAGTACATTCTGTTCTCTGTGACAAGGCTCTTACTCGGCTCCCTTTCCACTTTTCACTGATACCTTTGTTGCTTTGCCTCTCTTTAACACAGTCATATGTTGCTGAAATGACTACATGTTCTAAAAAATGTGTCGTTGGATGATTTTGTCATTATGTGAACATCATGGAGGGTACAGCCTACTACAAACCTAGGGTCTGTGGTGTAGCCTATGTGGCTTCTACGCTATAAACCATACAGCATGTTACTATGCTGAACAGTGTAGGCAGTTGTAACACAATGGTTTTGTGTATCTAAATGTATCTAAACATAGAAAAGGTAAAATAAAAATATGGTATAAATGATAAAAAATAGTATACCTGCATAGGGCACTTACCATGAATGGAGCTTGCAGGACTGGAAATTGCTCTGGATAAGGCAGATGAGGAGTGGTAAGGTTGAAGCGATGGGAGGCTGGTAGGACCGATTACTGGTGCACTATTGTCAGACTTTATAAAACGACTGTAGTGGCGTGAGGCGTACACCGAAGAGTGGTTGTGTATAAATAGTTTTCTGTTGTTCGATAAGGTAAAGTTTACTGTGTGAGACTTGAGCGGGTGAGAGCATTTGGTTAGCTTTAGAAAGACGGTCGCTAAATGTGGTGGGTGGGTGTGAGGATACTGTTGTTGGGAGCGGCGTTGTGGTTTGTTTTTTTTTTTTTTTTTTTTTTTTTTTTTTTTTTTTGAGACAGAGTCTCGCTTTCTTGCCTAGGCTAGAGTGAGTGCCGTGGCGTCAGCCTAGCTCACAGCAACCTCAAACTCCTGGGCTCAAGCATCCTCCTGCCTCAGCCTCCGAGTAGCTGGGACTACAGGCATGAGCCACCATGCCCAGCTAATTTTTATATATATATATATATTAGTTGGCCAATTAATTTCTATTTTTATAGTAGAGACGGGGTCTCGCTCAGGCTGGTTTTGAACTCCTGACCTTGAGCAATCCGCCCGCCTCGGCCTCCCAGAGTGCTAGGATTACAAGCGTGAGCCACCGCGCCCGGCCTTGACTCTTTTATAATAGCTTAAAACACAGACACATTATACAGCTGTACAAAAATATCTTCTTTATATCCTTATTCTATAAGCTTTTTTCTATTTTTTACTTTATTTTTTTACTTTTTCAACTTTTCTGTGAAAAACTAAGACACAAACACACACATTAGCATTGACCTACACAAGGTCAGGACCATCATTATCACTGTCTTGCACCTCTATATCTTGTCCCACTGAAAGGTCTTTAGGGGCAGTAACTCATATGGAGCTGTCATCTCCTATGAGAACAGCACCTTCTGGAATAACTCCTGAAGGACCTGCCTGAGGCTGTTTTACAGTAACTTTTTTCTTTTTTATAAGTAGAAGGAGTGAACTCTAAAATGATAATAGAAAAGTATAGTATAGTGAATATATAAGCCAGTAACATAATTGTTCATTATCAAGTATTATGTACTGTACATAAGTGTATGTGCTATACTTTTATATGACTGGTAGTTGGTTTGTTTAAACACCAGCATTGACACAAACATGTGAGTAATGCTTTGCACTATGACATCTGCGAGCTGTGACATCTGCATTATCACTAGGTGATAGGAATTTTACGTCTCCATTATAATCTTATGGAACCACTGTTGTATACATGACTGAAATATCATTGTGTAGCACGTGACTGTACTTACTCAATTGTGCCACCTCCATGTACTTATATATTGCTTTTTAAAGAGATCTTGTTTCATGTACATATAAGCTAGATATAAGTATTATATGTGCTATAACATTTAATACAGCAGTAGTTGCCAATAATAATATGTGAATGTGAAGAAGACATCTGTGTTTGAATTGTTTCTTATCTGGTTGTAAATTCAAATTTTCATTGTATTATGATATATATATGGTGATTTGTAAAGCAAGGCAATATTACAGTCTTGGTATATACATTATCATTATAGCTATGTTATTTTCTTTATGATTGCATTACATAATATTAATGCTATAATCTTTGTTATGTACATAAATATCACTTAATATTTAAAATACAGGTAACTTGACCCTACAAGACAGTGGTTCTTAAAGTTTTTAGTAAACTACTATTACTGATAGGAATATGTTGTATCATTTATGTGTGTTGGGGATATGAGGTTTTTAGTAATTAATATCTTTAGGGGAAAACTACTCAAATTACCATAAAGCATTATTTGATGATATTTCATTCACCTAAAATGAAAACATTAAAAATGTGCCTGCTTCCATTGGATATAAGACATGTCATTTTCAGTGAAAAGTTATTCATTGTTTCTTACCTTAATGATACAGAAGCTAGACTGTAAACTTTTAAGTTAAAAAATAATAATAGACATAATTTATACTTTGGGGAAATAGAAACAAGTAATAAATACTTTATTATTAGTATTAAAGTATTAAAATACTTTATTATTATTATCTTAGAAAATAAGAACTTTAGTATTGGAAAAGAAACCTAAAATTTGGTGTGATAAAAATATTTCTGACTCTTCAATGAATAATGCAACTAAGTTGAAATGCTGTTCCAATAACTTATTTACTCTTCCTAAGGTACTGTAATGAATTACTAAGTATGGTAATTGTTTTATTGTAAACTGAGTCAAATGCTGGCTAACATTCCTACATTTTGTTGCTGTGTGTTACTGATTATTTTATAGCCTATCCCTCGACCAGATCCTGTGCATAATAATGAAGAAACACATGATCACATGCTAAAAACCAGATTAGCAGAAAAAAGTGAAAACCTTGAGCAAGGACCCATGATAGAACAACTTAGCAAAATGTTCTTTACTACTAAGCACCGTTGGTATCCTCGTGGACAGTAAGTTCTATTTTCTTTTCCTCAGCTCCCACTAGACACGCTAAAGGAACATGTAACTTTTTTTACATTAACAATCTTCTGAAGTGATATTCTGCATGGAAAAATTAACGCTATTATGTAGCTGAAATGAAATAATGCTGCTCTTTTCCCCCTTTGTTTCTTTTTTTTTTTTTGAGACAGAGTCTCATTCTGTTGCCTGGGCTAGAGTGCCGTGGCGTCAGCCTAGCTCACAGCAACCTCAAACTCCTGGGCTCGAGTGATCCTTCTGCCTCAGCCTCCCGGGTAGCTGGGACTACAGTCATGCGCCACCATGCCCGGCTAATTTTTTATATATATATCAGTTGGCCAATTAATTTCTTTCTATTTTTTTTTAGTAGAGACAGGGTCTTGCTCTTGCTCAGGCTGGTTTTGAACTCCTGACCTTGAGCAATCCGCCCGCCTCGGCCTCCCAAGAGCCACAGCGCCCGGCCTCTTTTTCATTCTTATGTATCTTTTCCATACCAAAGTATGAGGTGTTTTTTTGTTGTTGTTTATATTTGTTCATTTGAACAAACTTTGTTATTATTTACTTTCACTTGTGTAATCTAGTAACTAGCACTGGGCTGGCACATTTATGGCAGGATACATTTATAGAATTAATGAATATACATTCATCAAATTGTTCTACTAAGTTCTAGGTGATCAAAAACAATCCCTGGCCGTGCATGGTGGCTCACGCCTGTAATCCTAACACTTTGGGAGGCCGAGGCGGGAGGATTGCTTGAGGTCAGGAGTTCGAGACCAGCCTGAGCAAGAGCGAGACCCCGTCTCTACTAAAAAAAAATAGAAAGAAATTAATTGGCCAACTAAAAACATATATAAAAAATTAGACAGGCATGGTGGTGCATGCCTTTAGTCTCAGCTACTTGGGAGGCTAAGGCAGCAGGATCGCTTGAGCCCAGGAGTTTGAGGTTGCCGTGAGCTAGGCCGACGCCATGGCACTCTAGCCCGGACAACAGAGTGAGACTCTGTCTCAAAAAAAAAAAATCCCTGTTTGCAAGTTGTTTACAGTCAAGGAGGGAAGATAGTAGAGTAAATAAACAATTAAATCAAGTATGATTGAGCTTTGAAGGATGGTTAGGAATTAACCCATTTCCATGGGGGAAAAGCTCCACAGGCAGAGGAAACCGTGTGGCAGATAAAGTGAGCTGGGGAAATTGCTAGTAGTTCAGATTGTAAGGAACCAAGAATATTAATTTACTATACTAAAACATAGCTTTCCTTTTCTTGTCTAAAAAAGCCCCTCTCTTAACAATCTCTATAATACAAGTGATATTTCCATATCAATTTACCAAGAAAACATTTGGCCAACATACTCTTTCAATTTCTGCTTCTATTTTATATCTCCTTCTTTGGTTTATCTTTCTTATTTAGTACCTGCTTTGTTTATGCATGCTATTTTGATTTGTCCCTACCTTTGTAAGGTTAGGGCATGTGAAAATAAAGCAGGAAACCATTTCATTTCCCTATATCTTAAGTCATTTCCATATTCTAAAATTTCTTTTTCTAATTTACAACATCTTTCATGTTTACCTTTTATTTCTATCCTGTTACCTAGATATTTGAGTTCAAGCCTTCTTTAAACTTCTTCTATAGTGGCTTTTAGTACCTGTTTCCTTCCTGCATGTTCCATATTGCTACAATCTTTTGTAAGCATTGTTCATTACTAAATCACTGAAATTATAAAAACCCTCTAAAGATATATAATTTGAAGGGGGCAAGACTGAAGACAGGAAGACGGTTAGGCGTCTTAAAACCAAGCATGCTGTCTTTAGACATTTGTGTTTAGTACCCTACCTATGTTTAATCTTATTTACTTAATCTTACTACTAATTAGCTTTCAGCTGCTAATTAATCTTCTGGTATTTTTTTCCCCATCAAAATTACTAGGCACTTTCAATTGTAAGCAGACTTTAATTAGATGAAATTGATTGTCCAATATCTATCCTAATAAAGAGCTCTGCAGAAAAACCCCCGATACTAATTTATGTGCATAAAGAAAAAATTTACCTATATGTGTTGTCCTTGCAGATGCATCATCTTTCTGAATTTTATTTTATTATTATTTTTTTGAGAATGAGTCGTACTCTGTCACCCCAGGTAGAGTGCAGTGGTGTCATCATCTCACTGCAACCTCAAATTCCTGGGCTCAAGTGATCTTCCTGCTTCAGTCTCCCAAGTAGCTAGGACTATAGGTGCATGCCATAGCACCCGGCTAATTTTTCTATTTTTAGTAGAGATGGGGTCTTGCTCTTGCTCCTCCGGCTGGTTTCAAACTCCTGAGCTCAAGCAGTCCTCCTTCCTTGACCTCCCAGAGTGCTAGGATTATAGGCATGAGCACCACACCCGGTCATCTTTCTAAATTTTAAATAAGCCTGTGTGTAATCACTAATCATTGAATAAATATTTATTGTATACCTATGTATTTTGGATTAATGTAAACCATTTGCAAGTGTTTGTTTCTAGATGTCAGTGACCATTCTTTTTCTTTTTTTACCATTTTTTAAAAACTTCAGTATATAGAAAGATGACTTACTAAACATTTCAAAATTCTTAAATTACAGCAATCAAAAGAATGGGACCCATTATGAATTTAATAACTGGGGATATGTAATATCTTTTTAAATAAGTTTTTATTAAAAGGTATAAAATGCACCTTTTTAAAAAGTATTTTTAAACTATGCATAAGTATAGTCTCCTCTGCTGTCACTTTGCAAAAGAGCTATTAGGTCCTCTGAAGAAGCCTCTTTTTCTACTTTCATAAGGCTCATAATTTAGAAGCCTATCTTCTTTTTAATTTAAGCAATTTAGTGCTAGAAATTTCCTTCTGAGCACTGCTTTAGCTACATCTCACAAATTTTGGTATGTTTAGATCTCATTTTCATTCAGTTAAAAATGTTTTCTAATTTCCCTTGTGAAATTATCTCCTTTTTTCTTTGACTCATGGGTTATTTAGCAGCTGTTAATTTCCAAATATTTTGAAACTTTGCAGATGTCTATTACTGATTTCTAGTTAAATTCCGTTCTGATAAAAAAATACACTTTTTGTGATTTCAGTCTTTTAAAATTGATTGAGACTTGTTTTATGGCCTAGATTATGGTCTATCTTGGTAAATATTTCATGTGCATTTGAAAAGAAAGTATATTTTCTGCCACTCTTGGGTGTAGTGTTCTAAAAATATCAATTAGGTCTAGTTGGTTGATAGTGTTGTTTTCTATATCCTTACTAATTTTCATTTTATTTAATCAATTATTAGGAGAAGAATATTAAAATCTGAAACTGTAACTGTGGATTTTTCTATTTCTCCTTTCACTTTTATCTATTTTTATTCATATATTTTGAAGCTTTGTTATCAGAAGTATATATGCATATTTTTGTTGTGTCCTCTTAATGAATTGACACTTTATTAAAATTTTTTACTGCTGCTAACATTTTTTATTCTGAAATCTATTTTGTCTAGTATAATATAGCTTATCTAGCTTTCTTTTGATTAGCATTTGCTTGATGTATCTTTTTCTATTCTTTTACTTTTAACCTCTCTGTCTTTATTTTTAAAGTGGATTTCTTATAGATAGCATATAATTGAGGCTTTCCTTTTTATCCAATCTGACCTCAGTGCCCCCTCTCATTTCAACATGAAGCTGTTTTAAATGCTTTATGCTTTGATTTTCAGTACTTTCACTATTCCTCTGCCATTCACTCTTAGCTTACTTTCTTCTTGAAACTTTGATAATATTCAGTTTGAATAGTTACTACCCCTGTTAGCACAACTATATAAACTGTAATTTATTAGGTATCTGTTAATTTTATATTTGTAGATAGTTGTTTTGTTTACTTCTTCTCTGGATTATTCTCTCTTCATTAGGAATGCATCTTCTGTTTTGTAATTTTCCACAAGACTTCTAGCATGGCATCCTTAATACAATGTATGGGTGCTAAGTTACTATCTGATGGAATAATATCTCTCCTAATTATCTTTATAGCTTCGTCAAGGTGTTCAGTTCCTCTTTGAAATGGTAATTTATTTATAGTAGTTTTGGGAATGGTCCACTGGTAAATTTCCCAGTGATTCTTGGAAGTTTTATTTCTGGAGTTCAGCTATCAGGTTATATGAGTTTATCCAGTTCCAGTTTATCTGGGTAGGTCACAGGTGGGTTAAGATCGTTCTCATTATCAGATTCTTAATCAAGGTCAGCAAATCCTGAATGATCTAAGGGTGTTGCCCCACCCCATTCAGTCTTGATGACACCTGCATCTAATTATTGGCCTCACCCAAAGTGGGCAGACTGGGAGTAAAGCTAGCATGACTGTGCAGAGTTGATTCTGCAATAGTCAGTGGCCAATGACCATTGTTGATTAGATCATCTCAAGTCTAAATCAAATCTAAAATTAAGTCTTTACTATTAAATTTGTGAATTGAATTTTGCCTTTTCCTATTCTGGTTATCCTTCATATTTTGGGATATCAATTCAGAGAGTCCTATTAGATTTGGGCTTCATACCAAGGCTGGGTACTAGAACTGTTTGAATTCTTAGTGTGGGAGATGGGTGATGAGGAAACCTAGGATAATTTGAGGTTTTAGTTCTCTACCCTCTGCCTTTGCCTGAATGAGTATTTTTATATTCAGCTGTGCAAAGTTTATTTTTAAAAACAGCACATATAATGACACTTCTGCTATTTCCTGTGTGATGATATTACAAGTAATGGAAACAAACTAGCTTAGCTTAGCCATTACATGATGTTAACCTGAAGTCCTGGGGCTTCAAACATATGCTTTAGAAGGTAAATCTTATGCACGTCCATTTATTTTGTGCTTCCTACAGGAATTTACATTCAGTAAATGTAAATTTGTAAATTTAAAAATTTGTAATAGTAAATAGTTGTTGAGGACACAATTCTAAATTACATTGTTCCCCACAGCTGCCCCTGAGGTATCTCCTTTTGGTCTTTAATGTTGCCATTACTCAGGAAGCAAGCCATGTCTGTGCCCTCAGTTGCCAGCATCTCTGTACAAGTTCTTCTTCCTTTCTTCAGCCCTCTTTAGTTAGCATGAAAAAAATCAAAAGTGATGAAGCATTCCTTCCAGTATAATTCTTTCTAGAACACATAATTTTAGCAGTACTTCAGAGTTCCTAATGGTGTGTCCTTTACTTTTTACATTAATTCAACCTTAATAACTTTATTGAAACTCTTTTTACATGTCTAAAGTTCATATGCTATCTTGATTTCTCATGCTGGTTTCTTTTCATCTCCCTTGTCTCTAAATTTTGGGGTGCCCCGACAATCAATCAGTCTTTGGACCTCTCTTTTCTGTACCATTCTTGAGGACAGTGATCTTATCTAGGCTCATGGCATTAAATACCATCTGCATGATGATGGCTCCCAAATATGTATTCAAGACCTCTCCCTTGACCTCTAGACTTTTATATCCAACTGCCTACTCAGCATATGTAATAGACATCCCTAACTTAATGTGTCTCTGTTTCTGCTGGTCCCCCACAAACCAGCTTCTCCTGCAGCCTTCTCTCAGTTAATGCCCGCTCCATTCTTCTAGCTGCCTGGGCCAAAGGCTTCATACCACTCATGACTCTTCTCTTTGTCTTACACTTAACGAACGTCTGGTCTATCAGCAAATCCTGTTAGCTCTGTCTCCAAAATATATTCATATTTGAACACTTACCACCATTCCCTCTGCCATTGTGCTGGCCTAAATCACTATCCTTTGCCTGTTTTATTGAAATAGTTTCCTAACTGGTCTGCCCACTCTGTCTTTGCTTCCTGGAAGTCTGTTTATAGCATAGCAGCCGAGTAACCCTGTTAAAACTTCTGTTAGTTCTTGTAATTTTTCTATGGAAAACCCTTAAACAGCTTCCTACCTCACCATAGGCCTACAAGAACCTACATAATCTGTTTCTCTGTTACCTTTCTACCCTCGTGTCCTACTGTTCTTTGCCTTGTTCACTCTGTTCTGGCCACATGGCCTCCTTCTTGCTCCTTGAACATGCCCTTCCTTCCACCTCAGAGTCTTATACTTGCGGTTTCTCTGCATAGAATGTTTTTTCTCCCAATATCACTAAAGCTAGCTCTCTCACTTCCTTCAAGTTTTTACTCAATGAAGACTTTCCTGGCCTACTTATTTATCTTGTTTTCCTATCCCTTGCACTAGAATGTAAGATCCATGAGAGTGGGGATTTTTGTCTTGTTTTGTGTACTACAGAATTGTTAGTATCTAGAAGTAGCGCCCTGGCATACAGTAGATGCTCACTTACTTTAAAATGAATAAATGATCCTGATTCTCATACTACTCCCTAAATAAGAAAAAAGAAAGTTAACATAGCTCCATTAAAGGTAAAAAACTATGTTGAAAGAAAAGGATGGAGGGAAGACTAGATAGAAAGTAGGAAGGAACTGGAAAATAATTCTAAATTTCTGAAATATGGAGCAATCTTATAAATGCTTGAATAACAGTACTACTTTATTTAAAGAATTACTTTAATAGTTTCCCATGGAGGGAAAAAAAAAAAATTAGCTACTCCCATCAGTAGGGAACAGATTTGAAGACCTAGACACAGTTTCATTTGCTTATTTATTTATTTTAGAGATGAGATCTCACTCTGTCACTTAGGCAAGAGTGCAGTGGTATGATTATAGCTCACAGCAACCTTGAATGCCTGGGCTCAAGAGAGCATGAAAAAAATCAAAAGTGATGGAGCATTTCTTCCAGTATAAACTATTAAGTTTCATTGATTTAAAAAAAAATAGTTTTAGTAACAAGAAAATAATCATAGAAATTTAGATTTTTACAGGAGTAACTAACTTTTATTAAAATTGTGTTATCCCATACCAGGATCAAAGGAATAAAAAAAAAATTGTTTTATCCCCATTATTTTCTTCTTTTCAAGGTATCACATTCGTCGTAAGAAACTGAATCCTCCAAAGGACAGATAATATTGAGGATCTCCAGGGAATCAGAGAGAAATGCCCCTCATTTGCCATTTGAGGAAATGTAATCTGGTGTATTCACTAATATACAGTAAAATAGTAATAATAAAATGTCTTTTCATATATTAGAATGTGCATTTCTTTATATTAAGTCTGGATTTGACATTCTCCTTTAAAGAAACCTATTTCATCTTTTTTTTCTTTTGCGATATTAAAGTCTTTCATTTACAGATGGTCCCTGACTTACAATTTTTTGACTCTTTGATGGTATAAAAGCCATACACATTCAGTAGAACATCAATAAATTATATGAGATATTCAATACTTTATTATAAAATAGGCTCTGTGTTAGACGATTTTACCCAACTTTAGGCTAATATAAGTGTTCTGAGCACATTTAAGATAGACTAAGCTAAGCAATCATGTTCAGTAAGCTAGGTGTATTAAATGCATTTTGACTTATAATATTTTCAACTTATGATGGGTTTATTGAGATATAACCCCATTATATTTTTATGTGTCTAGTATTAAGTATTTTTACATTTAACTAATTTTAATCAAACATTATTAATAGTATAAATATAATTAATAAAATTGTACACTGTTTTCCTGAAGGGGATTTTTAAAATGCCTTTGAGAATAAGCTGTTGAGATCTACCCAGAAATCAAATCTTACAGTGTTTCGATTGGCTCCTAGGAAATAATTAAATTAGTTACACTTAATCAGTTTCTACTATTTGCTAGGCCCTTTCCATACATTCTTATTAAATTCTCAAAATTATCTTTGAAGAAGGACCATCATTTTACAGATAAGACTTTGAAGAAGGACCCATTTTACAGATAAGACTAAATGACTTGAACCTTACCTAACCAGTGGGAAAGACAGGATCCAAACTGTCATGCTCCAAAGCTTTTTTTTAGTACATTACAACGACACAGGGTGGTTTTCTTTTACCTTAGAATGTGCTTTCCTAGAGATTTTTGTAAATAGACTATTATATAATTTGTTTTGGGATTTTTTTTCTGATTGTTGTAAAAATTATGCTAGCTTCAGAGCACAAGCAAACAGCTGCAGCTCTGTGATTAAAATGTTAATATCACTAAACTAGTGTTATGAAAATGTTAATAAATTATTCTGCTGTTGCTTGTCACTACCAGCTTGTATGTGATCCTTAATAGTATTGCTGCCTCTGTGATTTCTATTTAGGAGGTGAGGAATCTTTTAACCACTTCAGTGGGCGTTTACCGGCTGCGAAACCTTGCCCACAGCCGGCACTCATACTCCGCATGTTAGTTTGTGCTGTGCACTGATGGACGAATCTCTTGTGTGATGAGGAAAGCTTTAAAGCACTGAAAGTTTGTTTTACTTTATAGGCAGCTTTACTTGTAATGTAAATCAGAATAGGTAACATATACATATATGGGTTTTTTGTTGTTTTTTTTTTGAGACAGAATCTCACTTTGTTGCCCTGGCTAGAGTGAGTGCCATGGCATCAGCCTAGCTCACAGCAACCTCAAACTCCTGGGCTCAAGCAATACTCCTGCCTCAGCCTCCTGAGTAGCTGGGACTACAGGCATGCAGCACCATGCCGGCTAATTTTTTCTCTCTATATTAGTTGGCCAATTAATTTCTTTCTATTTACAGTAGAGACGGGGTCTCGCTCTTGCTCAGGTTGGTTTCGAACTCCTGAGCTCAAACGATCCATCCGCCTCGGCCTCCCAGAGAGCTAGGATTACAGGCATGAACATGGCGCCCGGCCTACAAATATGTTTTTATTACGTTATTTTTAAATGTTCACAATTTTATTTTGATAAATGAAAAATTAGAAAAGTCATATCATGGCTGTCGGCTAAAGTCGAGGGTCAGCTGTGTGCCTTCATATCATGGCTGTCAGCTAAAGTCGACGCTCGGCTGTGTGTGTTCATCTGTGGCTATCGACTATAGTCGACACTCATACCGAAGTGGTTAAGAAGGTGGAAAGATGCTTTATTTAAACTTGTGAAATATTCCTGATCCAGTATTTGTAAAATTGATGTGAAAAATAATTTATCATTCAAAGTCTATTTAATGTAGTTCTTTTAATAAAGAAACTCTAGCTAAAGGTAAAAGTGGCCAGTAAACATGAGGAATAGTGAATAGTGAGAGAGTAAAGGAAATAATAATGGTCATCCTGTTACTCAAAGGAAATATTTTTAAGTGGTGTACTTTTTTCATTATTATTTTTTGAAAGATTAAAGAAAAAATAATTTGATAGAACTTGATAAATCAGAAATATTTAACAGTCTGTGTTGATGGTGGATCCTGGAAAAGTGATTGGTTTTCTTTCAGTTTGATTTATATCCAAAATTTTATATATTCTAGATATGTTATAAATATGGAAAGAACTAAAAAAACCAAGATATAATGACAAAGATTTTCATTTCTTCTAAGTACAAAGATCTACTAAATAGGGATTGTTCAACTCTTAAGATGCCCAAACCACATATTCATACATCAATGCTTTGGAGAATTAATTTTGACTTTATTGTACTGGAAATATAGATTAACACTGTAGCTCTTGGAAATTTGGTTTTCATGGGTTACTGATTTTTAATTTTGCTAAATAAATAAGTACATATTCCATCACCAGCATCACCTCCCTGCTGCTCCCCCACTCCCAACCCCCCAACCTAGGGATAGGAACCTATTATCCACCATCGCTAACATTTTATGAAAGGTCCATTCATTTGTCTGTTTTTACAGACACTTTAAAATTACAGAAAATGGGATTGTTACCAGCCTCCAAGTGGAGGTTTCTCCAAGTTCTTGGTGTTTGTCATGGAAAAGAATTTCAGGATACACCACATAAGCCAAGCAAGGACAAGCTTCATTGAATGCAGAAGTAAACTCTCAGGAAAGAGTGTGGGTGGGCTTGAAAGGGAGCAGATGCACTGAGAGGAAGTGGTCTTAGATCTTTTGTAGTCTTACTGATTAAAGGGAGGAATATTCAAGGTGAAAGAGTTGGCTTTTGCTAAAACTTTGGGTAGTACTTCCTAGAATTGGGTTCCCTCCAATTGTCATACTTTATATGGTTGTCTTAGAATTGTCATGGTGATTTTAAAGGTGGAGAAATCTTAAAACCACAATGTAAATGATATTGTAATTAGCCAGTGTTCAGGTGAGGTGGCAGAGATAGCTGACAAGCCAGTTCTTGCCTGCAGTTATCACCCCTTTTGTTTAAGTGTTGTTTACTTTAACACCACCAACCTTCAAGCCCTTGATACAGTCTCAGCCCTGTCTCTTAGTCTCCTACTCTAACAGGATGGGTCTTTAAATTAAATAAATTTAGCTTTCTGAAAAACTCGCTACTCAGTTCTTGTTCTCAAATTTCCACTGGTGAGGTGGTCACACACCTCATTGATGAAGCATTATTGCTGAAACCACCAGAGGGCACTCTCACACAGGGCTCAATTTGAACATACCCTCACCCAAAGGTAGTGACTTTTAAAAGTGCTAATTAGCAAATGATTTGGATATTCATTAGTTAAGAATGACTAATAGAATAAATGGCAGTAGTGAAGTTAAATGTTGGAATATTCTGAGGTCATTATTCATTCTGTTGATCCATGTGTCAAACATTACTACATGTGAGGAGGCATACCTTTTGGTAGTCCAATAGCAAAAAGTAGTCCCTTCTTAAAACCCATAGTATTTATTGAACTAATAATTTATTGAGCCACTTTATTTTTCTAATGGCATTGTTTTCTAACCATGCACATAATGCATTATTGTTTTTAAAAATTAGAGACTAAATATTAATAGAAAATAAAAATTGTCCTATCCAAAGGTAACATTATCAACATTTTTGTGTGTCTTCTTCCTTTGTATTTCTCTGCATAAATATATTTCAAAAAATAAAAACAGGGTTTATTATGCATGCTGTTTTATAATGCTTTTTTCACTTAATATTAATTTTTTCCCTATCATTAAGTACTCTGATTTAATGGGTGCATATTATTCTATAATCTGAGTTGTCATAATTTAACTCCCTACTGTTAGACATAATCATTTTTCTGTTTGTTCTATATTATAAATAACGCTGTTATTAATATCTTAGTGAATCATTCTTGAATATTTTCTTAGATTAGTTTCTAAAAGTATAATTGAATAAAAATGCATGCATGATTAAGTACATTTTAAAGTCTGTGGCTTAGACTTTATACTTCTAACAGCAGTATATGGAAACATTTTCTCTACACTTGCATTAAAAATTTTAAACTCAATTTAGCAAGCAAAGAAAGGAAAACGTTTTAATTTTGTTCAGCCACTTTAAATTTAGTATATTTTTCATTTAAAAGAATATAAAGTATAATAAGTTTCAGGTCCTAGCTTAAACCTCTAAGAAGCCTATTCTTGTTCCTTTATTTCCTTTGCAACACTTTATTATAATGTGTTTTCTCTACCTTCCCCAAAAAACACCCTTTATATGTCAGCTAAAATTTCACTTCTTTAGAGAACTAGATCAGGTTCTTTTACTGTATGCAACATTGTATATCTCTCCATAGCACTTAATCAAAGTTTGTCATTAGCATCTTTTTGTGTGATTATTTGATAAATGTCCATCTCCCCTACTAGACTATAAACTCCATGACTTCCAAGGACCCTATCTGATTAGGTGTATCACTGGGTCTGTATCACCTAAAGTTGCCTAGCACAGTCATTGTTTCACAGGTATCTAAATGTGGTTTCATAAAAGAAATTGCTCTTCTGCAGAAGATTTTATTTATATAAATTTAAGGGGTACAAATACAGTTCTGTTCCATAGATATATTGTATAGTGGTGAAGTCTGGGCTTTTAATGTAACCATCACCCAAATAATGTACATTGTACCCTATATTTCACATTCGTGAAAAACTTCATCAAAGATTCTTAGAAATGTTGGGAGACTGTGGCAAAGAAGGTACCTCAATTATCACTTACCAAGAACAGGAGTTGAAATACCCAGGAAGACCAACTCATAGAATAAATAATGCTAATCAATTACTTTTCCTTGCAATCTCTTTGATGTACATGAATGTATATATATTGCTAATATGGCCATTCCTTTAGTTTAATGCTATTTGAATATGATAATAATATGAAGG